TGGGGGTGGGGGAATGTTATATGTGTGAATGTATTCTCTTGTGGATTTAATTAGAAATTAAAGGTGCCCACTTTTTATAGATCAGAATCCTCAACGAAAGGCGATGATGTGACTTTTTTTTTTCTTCTGTTCTGATTTATTTGTTGAGAGGTAACACTGAGACGATCAATTTTTAATAAAAAGTAATATGAGGATAAGTGTGATCATAATATTTTCACCACCGGCGTCTGTGATGTAGCCGTTAGGTGTTTTTCTCTGTAGCACGCAGGAGACCCGAGTTCGATTCCCGAGTGTGGAGAGCTTCTATCGAGTGTCTCGATCTTTCTGCTGGGATGTTGTATTATCCCTGTAAACCCGGAGTGACGAATGTGTGCATTCATGAATAGTAATTTTATGTTTTTATATGTTTTGGTCTTCGCATTTTTTTGCTTGCTTCGGCATGTAGATTTTGGATTTCGACAAAATATTTCTTGTGACCCCCCCCCCCACCCCCTCACCACACCTACCTTCAAACTCCACCCTCAACCCTCTCCACTACCACCCCCCCCCCCCTTTAAAAAATAAAAACAAGTTAGCTTATTATAGCAGTGCAGTTTTTTTAAAAGATGTTTTGCTTGGAAAAACTTCTTTGACTTTAATATTTAACTAAAGAATGTTTAGTGTGCCCACATTTGGCTCACTGCAGTATGACGTGACAATCTATTGGTGGGTTTTTGTTCCCTTTTTTAGTGCTTTAAAAAGGTCATTATTGATACTATAATTATGCTGAACGCGGTTCCAACAGTTGACAAATCGCCCAATTCATAGCACAAATTTTTATCTTTTTTTTCAATCTATCGTACTTACCACCAATAAATAAATGTTTGACAATAATTGTTTGTGAAAGTAGACGCCACAAACTTCAGGTTTCATCTTTCTCAGACAATTGTTTGTATACAATACTGTTGTAAAGTGCAATATTTTTTTTAATAACTTTTTGTTGAGTTTATATGAATTCAACCCTGTTGAAGTTTTCTAAGAATCTAATTCATGTTGTTAAAGTCGGGTTTCTTACCCTTCGAAGGGGTGTTGACATCAACAACAGAATAGAATAGATTTGTGACGCATGCTGACAAAATGAGTTACTTCTCGCAATCCACAAATGGAGATATTGGCCAAAAATCGACATTAGGGTCAAACTTGTAGATTTTCAATTGATGCCATATTCTTTTACTATAACATGTCTTTTATTGTTTCATACTTATAAACTGTAAAAACTTCACCTATAAGCGTGATTTATCTATTTTGTTAAGGCTTGAATCAGAGAAGTAACTCATTTTGTCAGCACATTTCACATTTACTGTACTGAATAATGGATTCATAATACTGAATAATAGCTATCACAACAGTGGCAAGTTGCTCTGAAAAAGTAAAACAAGTTATACGGTAAAGTCATCTTAAAGGCTTGCATTAAAAAATAAATAACACGGCTACTCTAGGTTTGTTTTACGAGTTGAACATGCCGTATTCTAAGGATTGAAATAGTTTTAAATGGGTGGGGTTTTGAAAGTTTGAAAGTTGTGCTATTAAATTTCCTTTGAGTACTTCGGTGTCACGACACTAATATTACGTGTATTATTATTGTGGAGGCCTACGTACACCTGGAATGAAGCGCTAGGTAAGGGCAGAGAGTTTAGAGAGTCTGGTAAGGGTGAGACGGTCAGACGGTTAGTGTTAGAACGTACAGGGTAGCCTAAGGGGAATGAATTCCTTAATCGACCACGGCCGCTGAGATGTTTCCTCTCTACTTCCCTCCCTTGGATAGTAGGTCGTCATTCACCTTGTCGTTCTGACCGGCGTCTGTGGTGTAGTGGTAGGGTCTTTGCCTAACTCAGAGAGAGAGACAGAGAGACAGAGAGAGACAGACAGAGAGAGACAGACAGAGAGAGACAGAGCGAGAGAGAGACTCACAGAGACACAGAGAGAGAGACACTCAGAGAGAGAGAGAGACACTCAGAGAGAGAGAGCGAGAGAGAGACAGAGACAGAGAGAGACAGACAGAGAGACAGAGAGAGAGACACTCAGAGAGAGAGAGAGAGAGAGAGACAGAGAGAGAGAGACAGAGACACAGAGAGAGAGACAGGCAGAGAGAAAGAGAGACAGACAGAGAGACAGAGAGAAAGACAGAGAGAGATAGAGACAGAGAAAGAAAGAGAAAGAGAGAGAGCGAAAGAGAGAGAGAGAGAGAGAGAGAGAGAGAGAGAGTGAGAGAGAGAGAGAGAGAGAGAGATGGGGTGATACTAAGACAAAGTAACGTGTAAATTCTGGACAAATCCCCGTTTCTCGTCCTTGTCCCAGATTTAGAATATAACTAGCTGGGTCCCCTTTCGATGAAAAGAATGATCGGCGCATTAACATCACCTGAAAGTCATTGGCCTATTACATTTTACACTCTACTGGAAAGGAGCAATAAATCTTGAGAGATGCAAAAAATTAGAATGTCAATGTCTAGATCTAGAACTCTCAACAGCAACAAAAATGCGCCTCCGCATATCACATCCACACCGGGTTTTCTAAAATTACAGAGACAGAAGCGTCGGCCTACAAAAGCGATCGGCGAATTAAAGAAATTTAGCTTTTTGCAGCAAAACTGTCTCAAAACTGAAAACAGGTAGGTCGTCATGATCTGGAGAATATTTTAAAGAATCTTTAGGCGAAAACAGCATGTCGATTGATGCAGCCATTAAAAAGCCTTTTGAATAGCAAAATTCAGCCACCACAAATAGATAATAGATTAGACCTACTTCTTTCTCGAGGTCGGATCCAGAGACGGGGTTTTATTCGAGCATTTCTGACTGTCTTTAGGGATTTTGTAGCCCGCCGGACACGTGTTGGACCTAACTGAAAGGTTCAGGATCGAAGCAGCCTGCCTTCTAAATAATCTTATACTTATTGTTTCTGGGGGTGGGGGGGGGGGGGGGTGGACGTTTAGATGTAGGTGGTTGGCGGGTGCTCTGATGTGGTTTGCTCCTTCTTTCCTATAAAAAAAATCTATCTTCTTTATCTCTCCTCCTCCTTTTTGTGTATGTTACTCTCTTGTAACACATCTATTCTTCGGCACTTATATGACCGCATTGTGTTGAAAATGCCGTAAACCTCTTAGTAAAACTAAAAACATTCAGATTGGTGATCATTTTTCTACCTTGTGCTTTAGTTTAGGGTTTGTCATTTTATCAAAGATTTTTCTTCTGGACCGGCTCCATTCCTGCAGTGCGAAAAATCTCGATAAAAGATGGGTGACTTTACAGCGCGAATGAGTGAATTGAATGTCATGTCTTTGGCAGACTAGACGATCTGACACCTGCAGAAATGCTCAGTCTCGCCAAGCGTGTCCACTCTTTGACACACTAACATCACAAGCAGACTGCCAAAACTCATATTGGCGTTTACGTTTGGTGTACATCCATGCGCACATGAAGTGTGCTAACAAAATGAGTTACTTCTCTGATTCAAGCCTTAAGAAAATAGATAAATCACGCTTATAGGTGAAGTTTTTACAGTTTATAAGTATGAAACAATAAAAGACATGTTATATAAAAGAATATGGCATCAATTGAAAATCTACAAGTTTGACCCTAATGTCGATTTTTGGACAATATCTCTATTTGTTGATTGCGAGAAGTAACTCATTTTGTCAGCATGCGTCACATATACACACAAGAGAGCACATTCACATATGCTCACCGCCCCACAAACGCTATCACACACACACACACACACACACACACACACACACACACACACACACACACACACACACAAACACACACACACTCACACACACACACAAACACACACTCACACACATACATGCACAGACACACATGCTCACATACACACTTACGGACACACACACATATACGCGCACTCACACATTCACACATACACACATCACACACACACAAACCCACACAGACAGGCACGCTCACACTTACACACAGACACACATGCACGCACGCACACACACATAATTATTCTCTCTCTCTCTCTCTCTCTCTCTCTCTCTCTCTCTCTCTCTCTCTCTCTTTTTTTTTTTTTCTCTCTCTCTTGTCTATTCTACCTCCAAACAATGAAACAAAGCTCTGTTTTCCTTTTCCAGACAAGGTGCCGTAATATTTTATATCGTCACCGCCCCCCCCCCCCCCTCCTTAAAAATAACACACACACCTTACTCCTTTACACTTTTGTACACCACTTTTGACAAACAACGAATTGACTGTTGAGTGTATGCATTTGTGAAAATGAAATGGTATGGGTTTAATGCCCCTATCAACACTATTAGGTAATTTAAGGGGCGGGACCACCTAGTTTAACGCCCGTCTCCGATAGGACCGAGCCAAGTGGGAAGTTCGTGTAAAGTGCCTTTCCCAAGGACACAACGTCGGACCGAGCTGAGGCTCGAACCCTCGAACTCGCAATCTCACGATTACGAGTCCGGTAGCCTAACTACTAGGCTACCGACGCCACTTGTATGCATTTGTGCAGATGCAGTATAATAACTATAATATGTCTATGGTTGTGTGTAACCTTTACAAAGTCGCTACCCAAGAATTACAACGCTCTATCTGATCAGTACGTAGTTTTGAGAAATTTGGCGTTAAGAATTTTGAGCTTCGCAACTGTCAAACTTTTTCAAAATGCAATTCTTTGAATATCTTGCTTGATAATTGAGAAATTTGGCGTTAAGATAAGAATTTTGAGCTTCGCAACTGTCAAACTTTTTCAAAATGCAATTCTTTGAATATCTTGATAATTGAGAAATTTGGCGTTAAGAATTTTGAGCTTCGCAACTGTCAAACTTTTTCGAAATGCAATTCTTTGAATATCTTGATAACGACTCCGAATATTTTTATAATTTGGATAAAGCAGATAGAAGATAATTTGGTTTCTGACCTCACGTTCTTATAGTGACTCAAAACAGTGGCAAATTTTAATATCAGATTGAGCTTTGTGATTCTAAGGTAGAGAAGTGTGTTCCCTTCACCCTGGCCAACATGACACACCTGAGACAGCTGACACGCCTGACTCACCTGACACGCCTGACTCATCTCGCACACCTGACTCACCTGACTCGCCTGACTCACCTTACAATGTCTGACTCTTCTGACACACTTTACACACTTTACACACCTCGCTCCTGACACACCTGACTCATCTGACACACCTTACACACCCTTACACTCCGTACACTACTGAGACACCTGACACACCTGACACACCCGACACACCCGACAGTGACACACCTGACTCACCTGACACACCTGACACACCTGACAGTGACACACCTGACTCACCTGACTTACCTGACACACCTGACTCACCTGACTCACCTTATACACCTGACACAACTGAAACACCTTACACTTCTGACACATCTGCTACACATCATACACTTGACTCACCTGACACACCTGATACACCTGATTTACCCTACACACCTGGCACACCTGGCACTGTGTTGTTTGTCTCCTGCAGGGGCCATCACGTCACGGGCCCATTTGTCACCATGATCTACAAAATGTGTGCCGGAGACTTGCTCAGATTCGCCATCATATATTGCATTTTTCTTGTTAGCTTTACTGAAGGTAAGGCTCACATTTGCCTTCATAAATTTCATTTTTCTGGTTAGCTTTACTGAAGGTAAGGCTAAGATTTGCCATCATATATTGCATTTTGCTGGTTAGCTTTAATTACGGAAGGTAAGGCTCAGAGTTGTCATCATATAGATCTATTGCATTTTTCTTGTTACCTTTACTGAAGGAAGGCTCACACTCGCCATTATATTGCTTTTTTTGTTAGCTTTACTGAAGTTAAGGCTCAGATTTGCCGTTATATATATTGCATTTCTTTTGGTTAGCTTTACTGAAGAGAAGTGCTCAGATTTACCAGCGTATTCATATTTTTCTGAGATTAACAGAAAAATGAAGTTCAGATTCGCCATCATTATGTACTGCATTTTTATGAAATTTGCCTAATGAATAAGGTTCAGATTTGCCATCACATATTGCATTTTTCTAGTTAGCTCTACTGAAGGTAAGGCTCATATTTAATTTGTCATCATGCATGTTTCTGGTAATTGAATATGGAATGTGAAACTCAGATTTACCATCTTAAGGACATAATATTACATTTTACAGAAAAAACTAAAGCTCAGACTCGCCATCACATGCATGTTTCTGAGATTTACAGAGAGTAATCGCCAGATTTACCATCATATTCATATTCGGAGATTTACAGAAGGTAAATCCAAATTCTGTCTCTCTTTCATGAGGGTTCATCACTTCTTACAGGTTTCTTTTTCCTCTTCCGGGATGTGAAGCTGGAGAAGGGAGTGACAACCGGTGAGGAGGAAAAGTTCTCCTCCCTTATAGAGACAGTCCTCTACCTCTTCCAGATGACGCTCGGAGAGTTCAAGGTAATGTTGGGACTGGCATTTCTATAATATAATAATTATAGACAGCATTTGTACAGCGCGAATACCCACTCAACAGCAAGCTCTATGCGCTTTACAATCTATACTATTACTATTACCCCAGCAGACCTGAGAGCATTCTGAAACAAGCTCAAATTTCTAGGAAGAATACTGTGCTAGCGGCTATTTATAGGCACTAAAACACACTATATTTATATATATATATATATATATATATATATATATATATATATATATATATATATATATATATTTATGCGAAAACATAATATCACAACTGAAAGAGCTGCGGAGCTGGCCTACCATAGAAAACTGCCTCTCCCCTCGACTCTTAAGGGGGGGGAGGGGGGGGGCTACACCTGGAGGCTATCTCGCTTATTACTGGACTGGATTTTACCAAATTTCACACATATAACAAGCATAGTAAGGAGTCTTAAAATCTGCAATCAAATTTGAGAAAAAAGTTTTGTTTCCATAGATACGCCGCCATATTGGATTTTATTGACATGTCTTACGTAATGAATACCGCACTTATGGCTCGTGGAAATTGATTGTTTTTTTGCATGCGTGTTTACAAACATTAGATCAAAAAATGTGTGTGTTGTTTTTTTCCTAAAGGAATTAGAAAATTTTTTATGATTTTTTTCCTGAGGTAGCATTCAAGTTTGCGAAAAATCCGTGAAAATCCACACTCCAGACACCACCAACAAAAATCTATTCCATATATCGAAAATTCAACAGACAAATTTTTAGTATTACCTTTTCTCTTCATTCTGTGAAAATTTCATGAAGATTGGATAAAAAATGGTGGAGTTATTAAAAAAAGTATAGAGAAAAGTCGCGTTTTGAGAAAACGGCCGATAAAGAAAAATAAAATACTGACTTTATGAGGAAATGGCGGTTACAAACATGCCCGGTATGGGAAAAAATTAGGTTTTTGGGGGTTCTCATGCGATGAAATAGTTGTAGGAGAGGCTGAGGAAGCTAAATATGCCTACAACTCAAATTCCATGATTTTGAGCCGAATT